CAGAAAAAAAAGAGGACAAAATATATATACGTACATACAAACAACAACCCACCCGCCATGGAGGACGGTTGGAAGCAGTTGCTGCCCAGGGTGGCAGATTGGGGGTGGTTTGGGTGCCAGGGGTATTTTTGGCCTTATTTTGTTGCTGCCCGAGCACCTGGGTCGTGCTGATTGTAAAAGAGAGTCACAGCAGGTTGGGGAAGGGAGCGGAGGGGGGGCAGCTGGGGTTGGTAGTGCTGCTGGGGAGATGCCAAAAAACCAAAACAAAACACGTTTTCATTTTGTCTGCACCAGCCTGGGCGCAGGCGAGCGCGGGAGAGAGGGAGGGAGAGGGAGGCGCACGCCAACAGAAAGCCGCCGTGCTCAGACGCGGGCCTGCGGCCACGTCCCTCCGCAGCCGCCCCAGCAGCCGTTCCCGCTCCCTCGTCCCCCTCTCCCTGCCCACCCGGCTTCGCCTGCCAAGTCCGAGTTGGCACGGCTCCCCCGGCTGCGCCGAACAAAGCCGTCACCCATCCCCGAGCCGGCGCTGACAGTAAGCAAAGTGACAGGCGCATCTTCCGCATGTTAATCCAAACGGCAAGAAGGCGAGCGAGCGGCAGAGGCCCCCCCGTGCCATGCACACACACCCCCCCCGCCACCGAGCCACCCACCCCACCCTTGGCACCCGACAGCCCCGGTGGCCTCGTGCGGGGATGGCGAGGCCCCCGCCGGCGGGAGCACCGAAGGCTCCTCGTCGGCGAAGCTTAAATCGAGCCGAAGCCCCGCTCGGCGGGCAAACGAGGCCACTCGGCATCTGCTGTACCTGTTCCCGCTGCCTTCATCTCGCCTTGGAACCGTGACAAGAGCGCACTCGCCTCTGGTGGGCTCTCAAAGCCGCGGGTCTGTAACCCTTTGCAGGAAGTTGGCACCGATCCCAGGTAGGACTTTACTCCCCGGCTCTCGCTCTCTCCCCCCACCTCCGCCTCCTGCTCCCTCCCCTCCGCTCCCCCACCCATCCTGTCCCTTGGGCCCCTCTTGCGTCCCCCAAAACACCACCCGGCCCCCGTTGCCCCTGCGCTGCTCACCCGCCTCGTTGGCCGGGGGTAGCATGGGGGGCGGCCGACGGCTGCTGGGCGCCCACCAAGCCCTCGTGCCCACCGCCCTTGCACACATACCCTGGAAGGATGACCTGGGCAAGACAGAGAACAACAACTTCCTGCTCCGGCTCCCTAAAACGCCTGTTTCCACGCAGGGGTTAGGCAGCGCGGCGAGACGGGGGGAGCTGGGAGGAGGTTTGGGGGTTTGTCGTCATTGAACCAGGCTTTTTTTCTTTTCCTCTTTTTTTTTTTTTTTGGCTTTTTTCTTCTTTTTTCCCCTTTTTTTTTAGTCTTTTTTCTATTTTTTCCTGCCTTTTTTCCCTTTTTTAATGCCCTTTTTTTTTTAAACATATATTTTTGCCCTGCAGTCCAAACCCAACGCGAAGGGAAAGGAGGGGAAGAGAAATCAGATGGGAAGAGAATAGCTCCAAGTCGGCAGGACAATGCACGGGAAACGGGGAGATTAGCGTAGCTCTCGAAATCCATCACGCCCGCCCCGTTTCTGAACCGTTCGCCCCCGCGCCTCGTCTTTTTTAATTCTCCCAGCTCCTGAATTATTCCAGTCCACAAGCGGGAGGGGAGCGCACAGTCCGGAGTCCCTCAGAGCTGCCAAGAGCATTGCAACAGGAAAGAAAGGAAGCGGGAGAGAGAGAGCCAGGCAGAGCCCTCACAATCGAGCAGCGAGAAGAGCAAGGAAAAATTAACATCCAATTAGTGCCGTGTTTAACGAGGGAGACAGAGGCGGCTGTTGTTTTATTGCCCTGTTCTTTTCAGGCACATCTGACAGGCAGCAGGGAAGGCACCCCTGCTCCGAGTGACGTCATCATATTTTATTTTTTAATTATTTCCCCCCCCTCCCCCGTCTTTCCTCCTCTAAGTTTTGCACAGATGAACTCGGCCAGAGAAATTTGGGACTTTCTCACATTCAAGCCACTGGCTCCCCCCTCCACCTCCAGCCTCCCCCCATCCACCGACAGCAACCCCGGAAAAACAACAGCGCCAACCCACCCCAAAGTCTTTGTTCTTCCAAAAACAAAAGAAAAAAAGGAGGAAAGAAAAAAAAATCAGCGTTGGGATGAGAGCTGGAGGGAGCCTGCAGGAGGTTTCTCGGCGTGCGCGTCCGAGTGTGTGCGTGCGGCGGTCGGTCCCTCTCCCGTCCCTCTCCCCAGACACTCGCTCGCCTTGTAAAACTTTGCTGCATGTGACGCTGCTCCGGCCTCCTCTGGCAGCCTGACAAGAGCCGCCCGGCCGCACAGCGCAGGCGGCTTTTCAGGGAGAAACTCCATTCCGAGGGATGGGAGCACTCACATGTCTGCAGCGAGGGTCAGCGCCTCGAGACAGGGCCGCAGCCGCGGCGATGCCGACCCTCGCCATGCCAGCCCGGCCTGGGGTCACAGCAGGGGGAGAGGGGCTGAGTTTAAAGCTGGGGAGACTTTTCCCCTCCTGTTTCTCCCCTGGGATGGGGGGGCCCAGTGCGGTGAAAGTGCCGAGGGAGGTGTGCAGGGGTCATGGTGGCTGCAGGGAAAGGAGCCTGACCTTGTGCTGACCTTGTGCTGCCACCTCTTCCCCAAAAGACCCAGATGCCCTCGGGGTGGGATGAAACACCACCTGAGAGCACTGCCCAGGAGGGAACACAGCGGCTCAATTTAGGGAGATTTGAGGGAGTTTACCCTAAAAAAGCGACTGCAGCAGGCAAGCAGGAGCATGGAAAGCAGCTTCCCCACATCCTTCCCATCCTCTTACCAGCCGTGAGTGATGGACAGAGCTGTCACTGTCAGTGTGGCAGGTCAGGCTGCTGTCCTGAGCTTTGCTCCTGTGCTCTTTGTGGCGTCTTCTCCGTGATTCCAGATGGGATTTCCCTTATCCAGGGGGGAATCCATGAGGACCGGCTCCTCTGTAATCCCCCATTTCGAGTGAAGGCCATCCCAGGGGATGGGGCTGTGTGAAGACAGGGACAGGTCCAGGGCCACCGTGCCGCTGGTGCCTGGATCCAGTCCAAGTCCCCACCCTGAGCATTTCCTGGCACCAGCCTGCCCCACCACCCCAGCAGCAGAATCTCCTCTGTGAGGGTTATTATTTTTTACATATATATATATATATTTTTTATTTTTTTAAGGAATTATTTGCCTACGTGGAGCTCGGCGCTGCGGGAGAACAGAGCAAACAGCCTTATCGAGGGCAGCTGTGCCACAGGGCACTTCCTCATGCGTGGCTGCAAGATGGGGCCCTCCATGGCTGCGGGGGAGGGCTGGCAGCTCCTGGTCTTCCCTCTGACCAGACACCAGGGAGACACCAGGCACCATCCAGACATCAGGAGGGCTCTCTGGGATGTTTCCCTCCCAGCTCCACGGCAGGAGAGTGGCACGGCCAGGAGGGGTTTGGACTGAACTGAAGGGTCTTCAGCAGGACGACTCTGCAGGGGAAAGGAGAGGATGGAACATTGGCTCTGAGCTCAGCTGCACTTCCCTGGGCACAAAGGCTCATCTTGCTGCTTTCCAGATCCTGCCAGACTCGAGCATCCATGCCCAGTGGAGAGACAGACCAGCCTTGACCTGAGATTCCCTCTCCTGGCTGCTGTCGCTGCCTCCCTTCTCCCCCGGGCAGCTGGGAGCAGATGAGGCCAAAGTCCCAGCAATCTCAGTTCTCCACTGGAGGCTGATAAACGGTGTGGGCACGGAACAGCAGCGATCCCCACCCAGCCTGGCTTTGTGCAGGAGAGTCAATATTTAAACCAGAGGTTGTTTCCTGGGCAGACAGGGGAGCGCCAGCGGGACAAACCCCCGGCTCCATCCCGGGCGCCAGACCCAAACCTCCTCCTCCACCCCTTCATTTGTTCTGACCACATGTTCCACCCTGGATCCCCTCTCCTGTGGGAATGGGGCCCCATCCCCTTCAGCTGGGATACCTGAGCACCAGCAGCAGGGCCAGGCACTGACTAACGGGTAGCAATTTAAGGGAGACGGATGCCCAGCCAAGGTTTGGGCTGTCTCCTTGCCTGCTCCTGGTGAAGACATTTGTCCTTGTGGTGGGGCCCCTCAATGAAGCACGGGACAAAAAGAATCAGGGATAGAAAGAGGAGGTGAGGAAATATTCAACCATCCTGAAAATGGCAGCCCCTTGCTTCAAAGTAAGGCAGTGCAGTGAAAGCTCTGAAACCTGGTTTTCATTTAAATTGAGCAAAAACTACAGTCAACTGTTGGGTTTTCAGCCAAGTTTGTGGGGCCTGATGAACTGGGCAGAAATTACTGCCAGGATGCATCCACTGGTACAGCTTTAGGTAAATCCCTTAGGTAAATTCCTTAGGTAAACTCCTCAAAGGACAGGAAATATCACTTTTCCCTGCAGTGGCTGCAGTCAGGCTGTGCAGGGGCTGCAGGAGGTTTGACAGGCATGTGAGCAGCAGAAGGTGGCTTTAATTTGGAGGGCAAAGGTACATGTTGCTGAGCAGGTGCTGTGTGACCTGGCAGGTGCAATGCCCTGTGTGGGAGCAGGTCATACAACAAGGTGATTAAAGGGAAGGATGGAGCTGTGAGGGGGAAGATGGCTGAGCCCACCTCACTCATCTGACAACAGCAAAGGGTCTCTATCACCCCTTTCCAGAAGACCTCAGGGTCAATTTTAACTCCAAAATCCTAATTCCACATGTATTGCTTCAAGCACCCAAGCCCTCTGCTGCCTCCATCCTCACTCCAGGTGCACCCACTGCAATTTGCTCAGCCTAAATATGCCCACCTTCCATGGAGGTGAGGAAAATCAGGGGGAATTTGAGTTTTAAACAGCTGTTTTAGCCCCTGATTTGTAGAAAAGACCAAAGAAAGTGCCTGTCTTAAACTGAAACCTTCCCTGAGGGAGCACATTATACAGGGGGAAAAAATCACCAAAAAAATCACAAAAAACCCACCAAAAAACCAAACCACCCAATAGTTGTTTTATAACTGTATTTTGGAGCATAATTAAATTCTCTTTGAAATCATCTCTGGTGTTAGGGAACAGGTCCATGCATTATTTAACTGTAACACAAACTGGGAGCGAGGGAGGACAGACAGGACCGACTTCACGACACTGAAGGAGCTGGGTGGGGGCTGCCAGTCCCAGCACGCACCACCACTGTCCTGCAAGCCCTGCCTGGGGTGTGCATCGACCCTGCCTGCTGCAGAAAAAACCCCTGTGATGGCAGGTCCCCAGAGGACCAGGATGAGATGTGACCCCAGCTGCAGCACATGGGAACCTGCTCAAGCAATGCTAAACCTCTTCCCAGGGAGTGCAGCATCACCTCTGTGCAAAAGACTGCTTCGTGGGGAACTGAAATAGGGGAAATCTGCCTGGCTGCCATCACAGCACAGACTGGTGCAAAGAAATTCTTGTCTAGGGAGCTGAGCATCAATCCTGCCCCGGTGCCATGGTGAGCTCTGCTACACACAGAGCCAGCCGTGCTCCACTGAGCACCAGGAGCCTTCAACTCTGATGCCTCACCAGCCTTTGGCCAGCTCAAGGTGTGTTCCTTCATTGCAGACAGCCCTGGATGGCTGCCCCTGCTGCAGGAGAGCCCTTTGTGTGCAGCTCTCAGATCCCAACAGGAGCAGGAGCCCAGCGTTGGTGCTGCTGGCTGAGAGAGGCCCCTTGCTGCAGCCAGCCAGTCCAACCCAGCACCTGCCTCCCCCAGAGTGGGTGCAGGCTGCCTGCCCAGCCCACAGCTCTGCTGGGTGTTTCCTGAACACAGCCCATTCCATGAGTGAAATCCTGCCCAAAGCAGCATCACTGGCAGCACATGTCCCTTCCCAAGAACCCTCTCCTTGTCCACATCCCATCACTGCCCTGAGCTGGGCTGGACCTGTCTCTTTGGGACCCTTCTGTTCTTTGCAGTGGGACTCTGTTTCCCTTCCCTGTTTTGATCCTATAATTTCCTTTTCATGCCCATGGGAGGTGGGATGTTCCTGGGTGATAAGGACCCTCAAACCTTAAATATGGATGGCAGGTTGATCTTGCCCAGGATGAGCTACCTGCCAGGCAAAGGTGCTCTCTCCAGAAAGGACGAGGCAGGAGGCTGTCACCTGGCATAACCTTCCCAGGGAGGTGACCTTGGCTCTCCTGCTGCTTTTCAGCTCAGGCAGAACAAAGCAGTCTTTTGTCCCTGCAGCTCATGGCTGGCTCCTTTAGTACCTGGGCATTTTCTGGATTCCTGGACTTCCCCAGCAACTCCAGAGCTACAGCTTGGACCAAAGAGACAACAGCTTTCTGCTCTCTCTGCTATACATCCCAGTTGAGACAGCCACGAGGATGGAGCTTTGGTCCAGCTGGGGCCTGAGCCAGATGTCCAGAAGTCTGTTCCTGGCCTTGCTGGAGAGGAGGTGTCAGCTCTGGCACCATGGACTTTGGATCAGAAAATAGAAATATACAGATATCGAAACAAGCTTGGGGTTTCTTGAGGAGTCCACGCTGATGAGCTGTCCCTGCCGAGGCGTCAGTCGATGGGGAAGGAGGCGGCTGGGACGGGCGCCCTGCGGAACAGCAGGCTGGAGCCACGGAACAGCTGCCCCTGAGGAGGAGAGCCCGGGGTCAGGGCAGCCTCAGACCGGCCCAGGGAGCTGCAGCTGTTTTAGCAGGGCCCCACTCCATGCCCATGGCAGGGCTGCAAGGCCTGGGCACCCTGGGCTGCTCTGAGGACAAAGTGAAGTTCCGGCCCCGTGGGTGCTGGAGTTGAGCATTTCCCCAGGTGTGACAGATGCAGAGGGGCACAGACTCTGCTGTGTGCAATGCACAGGATAAAAGCTCACAGGCTGCAAGCTCGGGGTGTGCAGTGGGCAGAGCAGCACTGCCATGCTGGTACCAGTGGCAGAACTGGAGGGACAGAAGCAGGCTACAGAGCACAGCAAGGATGCAGCACAGGCACTTTTTTGGGGAATTCTGCAGACTTGGGAAAGGAGCAGAGGGAGCCCAAAGCCCCGTGTGTGCCTTGCTCCCTCACCTGAGCACTGAGGTACCTCCAGCAGTGGATCCAGGATGCAAAGACAGGAGCGTAGGGAGGGAGGCCTGCACGCAACCTGCACGGCAACAGGAACAGCTGAGGTGGATGTGTCACCTTACCCACACAGGTAACAGAAGAGCAGCAGGAAGTGTGAATGAGGACACGGGGACAGTGTCCACACCGGGCTGGCAGCCAAGTGACAGCTCCTTATTTACAATGCAGCAGATCTGTAATTTAATTACCCCTGGAGTGCACAAACAAGGAGCGTTACCTGGAGACTTTGAGAGTCCAGGACCGTATCTACACCTTCAAAAGCCAGCAGATACTGAGAAAACATGGCACCACACTTGGATCCCGTTCCCATGAGCAAAAATGAAGAGCAGGGTGATTGGGAAGGCAAGCTTGGTCCTGCTCCTGTCTGCTCCCATGGCTGCCATAAGAGCTCTGCTTCCCTCGTGCTGCTCCCTGGAGCCAGCACTGTCCCTTTGATCCCTGTGTCCCCAGCTCAGCTCAGATGTGACCACACCACCACAACTCTCCCGATTTCTCACCACCTGAGCTTTTCTGCTGCTCGTGTCTGTGCCCTCTGATCTAAAATTATAAGCAACCTGGGACAGGAAACGAGCCAGCTCTGCGAGGTGCCACAGAGTTTACGGGGGCTGGAGGAAAGCTTTACGGTCGTTAGCAGCCCATTCAGACAACAAGGGGCTGCAAGAAAGGAAGGGAAAGCTTTAGATCTCAGTGTGAAGGACATACCCACAGTTGTTCACTGCCATGAGATCTCCCACAAGAAGGAACGGGTAGGTCAGCATGCTCACAGCGATCTGAAAGCACAGAAAACCAGCAGCCTCTCTAACGCTCCCCATGTCAAAAACGCTATTTCCAGCTTTTGCACGTTAGCAGAATTATCCTTGGATAAGGGATGTCAAGTACAGACCAGCCTGTGTCCCCAGAGCACGAGCTCTCAGCCCAGAGGTGGCAGGAGGAGGGGAAAGGACACAGCAGCTGCCTACATACCCCCATCACGAACTTGGTGTAGCTCCGGATCACCGAGGCCTGGCTGAACTGCAGAGAGAAACCAAAGGTGTTGTGGGGATGCCAGCATGGGGATGACACCAGGCTGGCAGTGTCACATATGACACTCCCTGAACCTGAGGAGAGGGGCAAGGGAGGAGGCAGAAAGCAACAGAGAGCGGCTGCATTCCAGCTGAGAGTCTGGGAAGGCATTTGGGGAACTGTAATCCCCCAAAGTGCAGGTGAAGCACAGCCCTGAGCAGACACAGAGCCTCCAGCACTCTCAGGGAGGTCCCCAAAGCCTGGGGTCTGTATTAAATCAGCCCCTGCTCCCCAGTAACTCCTCCCCACTGCAGGTGCTTGGTGCAGACCCCAGGCACCTTCAGGCACTTCCACTCACGTTGTCATCCACAGCGTAGGTGTTGATGAAGTGAGCCAGGAGGTTGCAGCACCAGAGGAAGATGACATCCCCCAGGATGTGAGGGACTAACCCACTGCAAGGGCAAAAAGAGGGGTGTGAGGTGCAGGAGGGTCCCAGTGCCACCTCCTGAGATGCCCAGCCCTCCTTCCCTCCACCAGCTCAGAGGAACTCCACTCCCCCAAAATGAAATTTTTACTTCAGGAGGAACTGAAAAGGGAGATTTCAGGGAAGAGCTCTCAGCCTTAAAACTTGGTACACGTACTGCTCTGGCTGGAAAGTTTTTGGGATCTGGTTTTTGGGCATGACTCAATACCCCTTGTTCTATCCAAAATCCCTTCTTGGCCCAACTACTGCTGAGAAACCCAAATGAGACACGGATGAAGTGGTTTCCATTTCTGAAGATGCTCTTTTGGATGCAGAATGAGAAGTTCATCTCTTTGTGGAATATCCCTTTTAGAAATCAAAATGAGAGAGATTGTTCCTGCACAACCTGCTCCACTGCAAAGTGGGAGTAACTGGGGGAACACTGATTTTTCCCAGTCCCTGCTGCCCCCAGGAGCACAGTTCTTTGGTTAATGCCTCCCACTGACACACTGGAGCTCCCAGCAGCACCAGCACTGCCAGCTTTTGCAGATAATAGCACTAAAATTTTACAGAATATTCCAGAGGGCTTCTCCAGTTTGTTGGTGCTTCTGCAGCATCTGCTGCAGTAGTGCAGGGTTTCCTGCTTTTGCAGAGGTTGTTCCATTGCAAAAGGATCCAGGTGTGTGTCAAACCTGTGTTTCACCAGCAGATGTGGTCAGTTCTGAAAAGGAGCCTGTCAAGAGCCACAGGAGTGTTTGCTGAGCTGGAAAGGGTCACCTTCAGGCACATTAATCTGACTCTTTTGTTTCTTCCCAAACACAATGCTGCCTCCTCAGAGCAAGGGACCAGTTTGTTTCCTGCTGTGGTTGCTGCAGCAGCAGAGCAGCAACTGGGACTGGTTTTGGGAACAACCTGTGCATTGTTAAGGCCCCAGCAGCCCTGTGGATGCAGCTGAGGTCTCAGGGGCCAGGCACAGCAGAAACCTTCAACAGAAGATTCACTGGCTTCAAAGATGTGATACATGAGAGCAGCAGACTGGACAAAGAAATCAAAGCTCTCTGGCCCCAAAGAGATGCTCTGCTTTGTGTTTGGCTTTCAGCCTTTGTAAAAACCATCCTTTCTCTAACTCAAAGTTAAGTCTGAAGCTCCTGAGCTGCTGAGATACAACAGAGTCTAATAAATTCCAGAAGCAAAGGGCTGGGCCAGGGCAGCCCCATAAGGAAAACCTCACCCAACTGTTGATAGGGAGTCAGACTGTTTATTCCACTTCCAATAAGGATCCCATCCCTTTCTCCCCTCCAAAGTAATGACAGCTGCTGGCCCTGAGCTGGATGACTGGAAACCAGGGGTCTGAGAGCTGCAGAAAGCAACCAAAAAAAGCCAACAAGCCAAAGGCATCAAGCCTGTAAATCCCTCCTGGAATTCCAGCACTGCCTTTACTACTATTGACATAAAAAAAGTGAGTGCTGCAATTCTCACACCTGCTGAGATGTCCAAGATCTGAACTGGGAGTATCTCTGGAAGGTGATGAAAAGCTGGAATAGCAGCAGGCAGAGGAGGAAGCCTGAATGATGTACAGTAACCAACAGCAGAAACCCCAGTGCAAGGGACCTGGTACAAGCCATCCTTGAGCTGACCATGCCCAGCACCTTTGAAGCTCAGGGAACACCTTCCTGGGCTGTCAGGAGCCTGCTGCAGATATGAGGGAAAGGGAGATAAATCCATCCTTGAAAAGTCTTTATCTCTAGCCAGGCACACACCCAGAGAGTGCGTGCCACTGTTATTGCTGGGGGTGGTTATAAGGCATGAGAAACAAGTGCACTGCCATGATTTTAGGGCAGTGGATGTGCTGGGATTGCACCAGGGCTGAGAGGAGAAAACCAGCAGTCTGGTCCTTCAGATGCACTTTGTGCTCCCCTCACAGCAGTGGGACTTCCTAAGAGGGTTATAGAGCATGTAGAACTTCAGAGCCCTCCTGAGACAATTTGGGTTGTGTTAAAGCCTTTCTTGAGAACCATTAAGTTTCACTAGGCTACCAGCAGTGCTTATTTTATGTGGATGGAAGAGAATGTGGCAGCTTCTTTCAGATCACTTCCCTGAGAGGTGGAGGGTTGTGAGCAGCCTGCTCCAGCCATGCCCCACTCACAGGGACCATCCCAGAGCATCATGTATTTAGTGGAGCAGATGTGGAGCTGCACAGCTCAGCTGAGAAGCTGTGGGCTGCCAAATGAAGAAGCAGTGGCACTCAGTGGGTGGGGTCTTTGCAGATCCCTGGCCATTTCTTCTTGGAGGAGGACAGGGTGAGACCCCCTGTGATTGCTTTCCTCTTCCTCATGCATTCAGGTTTCATCTGGAGGCCCATATTTTGTGACTGCAGAGTCAAAGGCATCCTGAAAAGCCCTACTGAAATTCCAGAGCTGCCTTTACTATTATTGACATAATAAAGTGAGTTATCTCCCGACCACGAGCAGACACAGCAGGTGGTTTTGCTTTTATGAAGATGTGAAAAAGAAAGGCAGGAAGCATTAATTAAAGGTTCAAGCAAAAAGGTGCCCACTAAACTTCCATTTCAGTGATGCATCAATTTGCCACGCTCTGTAAGCAGCTGGAAACACCTTTCAGCTCCTCCTGACCCAGGTACCACCACACTCCAAGCACACAGGTAAACCTGCTCATTACAAGCACCCACGGTGCTCTGCAGAGGAATATGCTCCTTATCCGGGCTCTGGCTTTCATTTCAACAAGGGAACTTATTGTTGCACTTGATCTTGGTGCCTGTTGCACAAACAAATGCTTTAAATGGCCCTTCACTGAAACACAAAGAAGCACCAAGGGAAAACTAACGGTAAGAAAAAAATACAGCTTTCTCTGGGCTCTGAAGGTTTGATTGAAGATAAGATCTGGGGCAATCTTAATGGTCAAACTGGAATGCTGTCAAAGGCACAGATTTAATCGTGGGAGTGATGTGGGAGTCCCTTGGTCAGACAAGGTTTCAGCTCAGTGTGACTCCAGCTGGGGGTGGCAGAGCTGCCGGCAGAGCCATCAGCGCCTTCAGGCTACGGGAGAAAGCATTTAAACAACAACTCACGTACACAAAGAATCCCAGGATCCCTTCTTCCTTAAATATCCTGCCAATGGCACTGAACACACCGCTGCCAAGAAAGGAAAAGAGCTGTGAGTGTGCAGAGTTGTTCCACCTCTGCTCTGTGCAGCTTCACATGCATCCTGCAGGCCCCAGCCACGGCAGAGCCTCCCCAGCCACCATTCCAGCAGAAGGCAGCTTGTTCTGCCTGTTGCCCTCAGACCAAGCAGGTTGGAGGGAAGGAAGGTCGTGTGTGTACTCTGCCAGTCTGCAGTGACACCTGGAAGAACACCCAACCTGCACATAGCTGTTCAGTGCTGAAGGTACAAGAGCTCTGTGAGGCCTTGTGAGTGGGCACAGATGTTGTGTGATATGGTTTGATTTGGCTGATTCTAAGCCCAAGAACCCTGTCCTGCCTTTGGGAACTTGAGCTGGCTGTTGTGAGCTGGCTGCAATCCTGTCTAGCGTGCCTCCATGTTGCTCCACAGGCAGTTTTGCCCTGCAGAGAGGCAGCTGGTACTGCAAAAGGCTTGGAAAAATTTTACAGACTAAGCAGGGCTGCAGCAAAGCCTTGTGATATCCACTCTGCCTCCCTGCTGCCTTCCCTTTCCATTAACAGTCAAAGAAAAAGGCAGGAGACTCGTTGTGTGATCAGCAAGGGGTGATACAGCCCCAAACCCCCACGGGCACAAGGTGGAACAGAGGCACGTCAGGGACAGAGCCAGCCTTCCCACATTCCTTCAAGGCCCAGTCACCCACCTTCTAAGCACAGCTCAGATTCACTTTTCAGTCTCTCAAGCCTCCTGGATAACCCTATCCCCCACCATGGCATGGGAGCCACCATCAAGTTTCATTAGGCTACCAGCAGTGTTTATTTTATGTGGATGGAAGGGAATGTGGTGGCTTCTTTCAGATCACTTCCCTGGAAGGTGGAGGGTTGTGAGCAGCCTGTTCCAGCCATGCCCCGCTCACAGGGACCATCCCAGAGCATCCTATATTTGATCTGGGGTCAGCACCTGGCACCCCTGGCCCCAGACCCTTCCCAGCTGCAGCCACTCACCTGTATTTGACTTCCCGGCCTACGAACTGGACCATGCAGCGCATGGAGATCACTGGGAGGAAAGAAACACAAGGCTGATAGACAAACAAATCCAGTTTGGGCTGTACTGGATGTGAAGGAAAATGAAAAATGACCCTTCTGCTCTCCCTCAACTCACAGCATCTCCAGCTCCTCTCAGTGGTCATCAGCACTGCAAGACTCATTAGAAACTGGGGCCTTTCCTGAGCCTGTAAGTGGTGGGAAGGATTTCAGAGGATCACAGAGAGGTTTGGGTTGGAAGGAACCTGATTGATCATCTTTTTCCAAACCCCCTGGCATGGGGAGGGACACCTTCCGCTCTCCCAGGTTGCTCTAAGCCCCCTCCAGCCTGGCCTTGGACACTTCCAGGGATCCAGGGGCAGCCACAGCTGCTCTGGGCACCCTGTGCCAGGGCCTGCCCACCCTGACAGAGGATTTCTTCCCAATATCCCATCTAACCCTGCCCTCTGGCAGTGGGAAGCCATTCCCTGTGTCCTGTCTCTCCGTGCCCTCGTCCAAAGTCCCTCTCCAGCTCTCCTGGAGCCCCTTTAGGCACTGGAAAGCTGCTACTGGCCCTAACCCCAATGGGATTTCTAGGACAAGGTCCTGGATGACTGGGAAGAGAGAAACTCATTGCTCAGCTGTGTTAGTGCCTGAAGGCAAACCCCAGCATCAGCCTCCTATGATACAGAAGTATGGTAAGAATCATCCCCCTGAGTGTGCAGGGTTTGGGGTGATGCCAGTCTGGATGGGGCTGCCAGCCAGGGGACAGGACTCACCGTGCAGCGGGTGTGAGACAACCCGGGACACACACTGCATCATCATCTCGTGGGATGTCTGGGAAGGGAGGAGAACACACCTGTGAGAAAAGCTGTGCTGCTCCTCCTGCACAGCCCAGGCCCTTCCCCTCAGAGTGGGGAAACATGTTTTGGGTCCCTCTCTTGAGATTTGTTCTTGTGGTAAACTTCGACTCCTGTGAATTATTTAATAGATGGACACAGAATGACCACTAAACTGATAGACAAACAAATCCACAAACTTCTCACCACAAACTTCTCACCCCAGATTCTCTCCAAGTAATCTCACCCACGTCCCCAGGGATGTGCCCAACCACTCATGACTGGGCAATATCCACTTCTCACCTCTCTGACCACTTTCCTAAGTGAAGTTTTCACATCATCCCTGTTAGACACGTGCTCCATGTCTTCCAGTGGAAAAGCCTGAGTGGGGAGGGAAGCAACATGCTCAGAACTGATGGAAATGCTGACCAACAATGTCTGAGGACAGGGGGAAACCACAAAAAGCTGTGCTCTAGATGCAAGGACAAGACAACCAGGCAAAAAGAACACAGGAGAAGAAAGAATGGAAAGTAAAATAGAGGAATAGCAGAGTCACAAAACTGCTGACAGAGGATACAAGGCACAGAGATGCCAAATCAAATTAAAAAGGTTTATAAATTAAAAAATACTTCAGGGGTAAGGGCACTGGAGGACTATTCCCTTAGGAGATGGAGAGGGATGGGTGCATCAGTCTTCCTGTGCAGCCCTTGCTGCAGAAGCACTGACCCTGCAGGTGACTAACGGAGAGAGAAGCTGACCTTTACCTTCTTCACACTCCCCCTGGTGATGGTTGATAAAGTGCTTGAGATGAGGCGAGGAGTCAGGCCACGGAAGAGGCCTCTCTTCCCATCCACTTCCACGATGTGTCTGGCTGGGTGGGACAACACCAGGCTGCTGTCAGTTGGGAAGGGGACAGTGCCTGGAGAGCAGCCCAAACAGCCCCAGGGTTCAGCTGAAACCATGCCAGGCTCAGCTGGGCAGGGCAGCCACTCCACGGCCCCACAGTAAGTGATTTATTGTAACAGTACTAAAGAAACTTCATACTGGAGGACAAGAATTCTTACTGTCATCTGCCTATTCTGGAAGGACAGCTCCAATATTTTGGGCTACTGTTTGTCTTTTGATGGTTTTGCTCACCTGAAAGGGCTCCAAGGGAGTTTGGACTGAACCAGGCAGGGGGGATCATCCCAGGTGCTCTGTGCTGTCACCTCCTCCCTCCACCCCAGGAAGGTCTGACTCGGGGTTCATATGGACCTCACAAACCCATGTTCAGTTCCTGCCCCACCACCTTCTCCCAGGCAAACTTCCTCAGGTCTCTAGTTGCAAAAAAAAAAAAAGCTCAGAGATCCCATTTCTCCCACATATAACAAGGTGGGATAAGACCCACTATGTGCTGGTGGCTACTGACTGCTCCTGGCCCCTCCCTGTGCTGTCCAAGCAAAGCCAGGTGGGCTCTGCACCTCTCCATCACCAACACTGCCCATCTCTTTGGAAATTGCATCTTCCAAAGGGCAGCACTGGAGTATTTCCAGCCCTGGGTGTCCCAGGATGGGCTTCCAGGGCTCTCATCCTGCTCCTGTGCTGATTCCACCCTATGGATAACACTGGCTGATTTTGGGATTGGCCCAGTCAGCTGTCAGCTGTGCATTCCCCTTCCCCACAGCAAACCTGCTCTGACAGCAGGTCACAAAGTATTCACCCACCTCTCCATGCTTCTCCATCCACAAAAAGAGGAAAATACTAATTTTTTTTGTTCTAAACATATAACCTGCCCTTTTCTTGGTATTTCTGTCCCTTTAGGGCTCCATCTACAACACAAATGAGCAGGGCAGGGGGCAGGTTATTCCAGGGCTGTTTTGGAGCAGAAGGAAAGTATTTTGCAACCTCCAAAACACACAAAAACCTCCTGCAACAAGCCTACAGCACCTAAAACCCCCCAAACCCCTCCACCACAGTGCAAACACAGAGCAATGTGCCACAGGAACACGATGCAGCACCAACACCACCCTGTCCCCAGCAACAGGTACATAAATCTGACAGCCTTGCAAGGAGTTGTGGTGGTTTATGTCTCACTGCAGCCTTGGGATGACCCCAAGGGGATGTGGGAGTGCTGCTGGGGGTCAGCTCAGGCTGCCTGGCAGCTCCCAGCCCCGATTCCTCGAGGGCAGGACCTCGTGGTGCCGGGGAGGGACAGTCACTCACCGTAGGTGAAGAAGCCAGGCATGTACAGGACCTTCCTTCCCAGCACATTTCTTCCAATGGTTGGAGGCAGTGGCTCATGGCCAACCTGAGACAGAAAGCTCGTGAGCAGGTCTCTGTCCTGGTGTTGCCAAAGTCCCTGGGATGAACAGGATTGATCCCAGCATCCCCCCGTCACTCTCAGGCACTCCTTTCCTCTTTTGGGGCCCCTAGGTTACAGGGGGTCCTCCACCCTCCCATTTTGGGGGGTCCCTGTTACTGAGAGGGTTTTGGTGCTTCCTATCCCTCCTTGTATGGGAGGCCCCATGGCAGAGGGGTAATTTTATAGGGGTTCCCAGTGGGTGTCCCCATTCCCTGGCATAGGAGGGGTCCCAACACCCCACTGCAAAGGAGCCCCCACTGTATGGGGGCCTCACCCCTCCATTATATGGTGTCCCTTATCCCCTATATAGGGTGCCCCTGTTGTAGAAGGCATCCTCACCCTCCTATTATACAGGACCCCACTTTTATACAGGCTCCACCAGTGTATAGGGGATCCCATTCCCTTACATATGGAGCACTCCATTACCCAGATGTCCCTCATTCTTTAAGTGCTATGGGGGTCCCATTATAATGGGGGGGCTGCCTGTACAGTGACCCCCAGGGCATGGAGGCCTCCATAGGGGCATGAACCAGGAATCCACTTCCACAAGTGACACTGGGGTCCCAATCCCCATCACACACAGGGACTACTACACCCTGTTACACATGGGGGTCCCCCATTCTATAGGTGACCCCATTCTGTAGAATGCCCACATTGCACAGGGGGTCCCACTGTAATGAGGGGCTGTATATATACATACATACATATATATATATATAAAAAATATAATATATACACACACACATACATACATATATATCTACATATATATACATATATATATATATATATATATATATATATATATATATATATATATATATATATATATATATATATATATATATATATATATATATATATATATATATATATATATATATATATATATATATATATATATATATATATATATATATATATATATATACACACACATATATATATATAGCCCTAGCACATGGGGGTTTCCATAGGGGCCCTGCAGGAATCCAGCTGCTCCCGTTGTACCGGGGTCCCGATGCCCCGTTACCCACGGGACCCCATCCCGTTAATTACACCGAGCTCCCCCCTTCCACAGGTGCCCCCCGTGCTATAGGTGCCCGCACGGCACAGGGGGCCCCGTTATACAGGGGCAGGGCTGTACACACACTGACCCCCAGCGCACGGAGGCCTCCACGGCAGCGTCACCCAGAAATCCTCCCGTTATCCCGGAGTCGCCACCCCCGTTACACACCGGACTCCCCCCGCACCGTCCCGCTCCCCCCCGAGCGGACCTGCACGAGCAGCTTGACGTAGAGCAGCGGGTGGCTGGCGGCGGCGAGCCCCGCGCCCAGCAGCACGAACAGGCCCTCGGCGCCCTCAGGCCCCGCCGCGTCCGCCGCGCCCCCGCCAGGCGGCGACAGCGGGGCCGCCATGGCTCGCGCGTCACCGCGCCGCGCGCCGGCCGCCACCACCGCCGCGCCGGGCGGGGGAGGAACCGCGGCGGGAGGAACCATTGCGGAGGGGAGGGGAGCCCGGCATGAGGGGCGGCGATGGCGGCGGGGAGAGAGGGGCGGGAGAGGCGGGAAAGGGAGAAGGTTTTTAGGGGTTCGTGGAGTTGGGTGTTAGTGCCTGACCGGGTTTGTGAGCACACGGCCGAGGGGTTTGGGGAGAGAGAGGAGAGGAGAGGAGAAAAGAGAAAAGAGAAAAAAAAATAAAAGAAGAGAGAGAAGAGGAAAGGAGCTCTCCAGTCCCGGTTGCAGCACTGGTCTGGCTGATGGGATGGATGTCCAGGCTCCTGGGGCACAAGCTCTGGGACGGGTTGTTTCTCAGATTGTTTCTCATGCACTGTGCACTGTCTCAGACCTTTCTGTTAAAGTGTTGCCGTGCCTCCACATGGGCCTTTCTCCAGCCACGTCGTGTTCTTTCTCACGGCTATCACCAACAACCCTTGTGGTTGTTACCAGCAGTCCTCGGCTGGCCCCGCAGCCGTGCAGCTGTTGGTGTTTGGGGCAGACACACCGGCCCTAGCTGGGCACCAGGCTCCTGCCAGCCCATTCCTGGCCTCTCCAGCCGTCCGGACTGCCCAGACTGCCACCCTGAAGCCCACCCTGGTGGCACACAGCCCACCCTGGTGGCACACAGCCCACCCTGGTGGCACACAGCCCAGCCCACCTGTGCTGCTGGTGTCCCAGGTCACACCTGCCCTGCACCATCCCCGCTGCTGCTCTGGTCTTGGCTGTGCCACCGCTTGGGTCCCTCCCAAACTAAAGCGATTCCCAGTGTTTTCTCAGCATTTCTCCTACCCACAAACTGCTGTGGTTCCTCTTTCCCTTCCCTTTTGAGGCCAACCCAGAGAGGGCAGCGGGTGGGCTTTGCCTCGTTCAAATCCTCGTTCCCAACCTGCAGCCAGAAACACTTCAGAGCAGAGAGGGGCACAGAGGAAGGAGCTGCAGCCCCCAACACCTGCTCCTGGAGCTCCTGGACACCCAGGACCTGCTGCCAGCCCGTGCCATGGAGGGGAAGGCAGATAATCAGCAGAGCGTGGTGGAGCTGGTGGCTGCGTTTGAAGAGCACTGGTAAGGCAGGAGGGCTCTGGGTGCTGAGGGTTATGGCTCCACGTGGAGTGGGTTTGGGAAGGAAGAAACCCACTGTGGAGGTGGTTTGGAGCCTGTGGAAAAGCTGACAAGGTGATTTGCAATTCTTCACCACTCAGGTCTGCCTCAGTGTCTTCTTCCCACTGCGGGTCGTGAGCAAAATCTGAAAACCTCAGTGGGTGTGAGTGGCTCTGCCTGGCTCAGGGTCAGGCTGTGGCAGCCATGCCCCACACCCAGCATGTTCACACTCAGCCTGGCTGGTGCATCCTGCTGCTGCTGCTGGGGAAAGGAATCCTGGTTTGCAAATATGTAGGCAGGGGTTGTCACTGGGAATTAACTGACTGGGTGTCTGGGAGGGTCCCAGCCTCAGACTGTCCAGTTGTTTGCAGAGATGTGGCTCCAAGGAAAGGAAACAGAAATTATGTTAAGGGAGAGAGAGAATTCCTTCCATAAAGCAGCTCCTTCCTTTGGGGTGTGAGCTGGGACCCTCAGACAGGGTGTGCTGGGGTCTGAGCGAGGGGATCTGCCCTGGCTCTGGTGTAAAACTAATTCTGAGGCTTCAGGTGAGTTATTGTCAGGGCTGTGCCTCACTTTCTCCACCTGATGGATCAAGATATGGAAGCCTGCCATTCCTTGTACCATGAGATGCTCTCAGTGAGCCTTGGATGGGTTGGGCAGGTGAGTTTTGCAGCAATTCCTGAAGATGCTCAGGCACAAGATTTCATTTCATTTCAGGAACTCCTGCATCTCTGCTGTGTGCTTTTCCCCAGGCTTTGTGGTTGTCCCCATCATCCCACAGTGATGTTGTGTTGGAACCACTGCAGTGATCTACTCCCATGTCACTGCTGCAGTGTGTTTGTTGTTTGCCCTGGAGTGTGAGTTTGATTTAGAGGAAATAAAAGTAACTTGAGACTTTCAGAGGAAGCTGGGGAACCTGGGAATGAGCAGAACATTTTGGAGCAGACAATGGTTTGGCCCAAGTCAGCATAAATAGAAAGAGAGAAGTTCCCTGTTGGGACTCAGCTGTGGCTTTAGGCTGACACAGGTTTGGGAGGCACCAGGAGAAGTGGAAAAAGCCTCTTTGTCTCTGAAGGGTTCTGCCAGCCCCCCTGAACAGGAGGGGATTTGTGCATGGCTGTGGATGCACTCCTGAGCTCACAGACATCCTGAGCATGGGATGGAGCTGGCATCCTCTTCAGATGAGTTTCTGGCTTTCAAGTCACTTCCTATCCTCAGCTTTGCAGTTTGATGTCCAATTTCTTCATGTCTTTCCCTTCCCATCCATCCCAGTCCTGTCTGCAGGCCGACAGTGGATGTCTTTCCACTTTCTGCCCAGAGCAGTTTCCTGCAGTGACCAGCTCTTGGATGACAGACAAGTCACTTGCTGTCACCTTCATGGCCTGGCTTCTCCCTCATGCCCGCTCTGGACCTGCTTTCTTTGTCTTTGCCAGAAAAGGGAAGAAAGAATGCCACCAAAAACAACCTGTCTGCAAAACCACCCACGCATGGCCTGCTCTTGGCTCAAAACTCTTGGCTATTGGGCTTCTCCCTGCTTTTCTCCATGGTGGCAGCAGGCAGAAAGCCAGAGCTGTGGGTGGGATAAACAGCAGGATCCTGCTTTTCTACAGCAGGAGAGGGACTGGGCACAGCAGCAGGGGGCTCTGGGAGAAGAGAGGCTGGATCCTGGCCCCGTGGAGGATGCTGAGGATGTTTGTACTGCAGGGCTGGGGTGGAGCAGAGCAGTGTCAGCACTGGACAGCTGCTGCTCTTGTCCCTTTTGGTGGCTTTAAGCTGGGCCTGGGGAATGGCTGAGCTGATCACATTCCTTTGTAGCAGGGACAGCACATCTGCTCAGAGGGACAAGCAGGCAGGCAGGCAGCCCCAGCAGCTTCCAGCATTCCCTGCCAGCCAGAGCCACTCCCTGACCAGGAAAGAGAATGAGGAGGAGGAGAATCAGCAAGGTCAGCGTGGACTCAGCTTCAAATGCCTCCGTTCTCTGCGGAGCAAAATCCGTGAGGACAACTGGAGGAGGCCACAGGGCCCAGGCCTGGAGCCTGGCAGCCAGGTGAGCTCCAGAGGCTGCTGGGTGCCCACAGTCAGGCAGGGCTGGCTCAAGGTCTCATCTTTGCCCATGAGACTGAGCCCTGCTCCCCATGCAGGAACCAGAGGAAAAGAAAATTGCTCTGGAGCTGCTGGAGACAGAGCAGGCTTATGTCAACCGCCTCCACCTCCTTGACCAGGTGAACTGGGGAGTGGAGGGACCAGTGCAAGGGGATTTTGGAGGGATTGAAGCTGTAAAAATGAAAAACACTTGGGCTGCTGGTCTTTTCAGCCAGAGACTGGGCTTGGCCTTTGCCTTTTCTGCACCCCACACCTCTGGGAAGCACCCTTGTCCCAGCAAATCCTTCCATCCCCCTCTCCTCTTGTAGCCTGGGATTTTCCTCCTGCACAGTCAGGCCTTTCACTGGGTGATGTGCCTGTCCCAGAGAGGGAATGGGATCCTCAAGCATCTCCCTGGCCCTTTTTGTTCACCCTTCTTTCTTCCAGGTGTTTTATACAGAGCTGATGAAAGAAGCCAAAACTGGGAAGACGGTCCCAGAGGAGGTGGTGAAAATGATCTTTTCCAACATCTCCTCCATCTACCAGTTCCACGCTGAGTTCTTCCTGCCAGAGCTGCAGAAGCGCATGGAGGATTGGTGAGCTGCAGGAGGGGAGGGCAGGACACCTGGGGGGCTTGGCCAGAATGGGGGAGCAGCACTGAATTCAGGCTCCCACCAGGACCAGAGCTCAGCCTGTTTTGGTCCAAGTGTCTTTTGCTGGAAAACACTTCCTTAAAATGCTCAGATCAGAGTAGGGAAGGCTGGGTGACATCTCCGGTGGTTTGAGGGTGTGCCTGGGTATGAACAGCCCAGGCTGGCTGCAAGGTGGGGACATTCCCCTTCTGGAGAGCAGGAAACAGTGTGAGGATATAGCAGCCTGCAGCAGGAAAACCTCAGTCCTCCACCGTGGTCCTTCAGTTCATGCCTCACTGTCTGTCTGTCCTGAGGAAGCTGCTGGTCTGTGGTTCCCTCCTGCAGGAACCGCAACCCCCGCATTGGGGATGTCATCCAGAAGCTTGCACCCTTCCTCAAGATGTATGGGGAGTACGTGAAGAACTTTGACAAGGCCGTGGAGCTCATCACTACCTGGTCAGAGAAATCACCCCCCTTCCAGGAGCTCATTGCTGACATCCAGGTAAGGCAGAGCTCCCAAAATCTCCAGGGAATGGGGAAACAGGGAGGCTGGGAGCTGCCTTGGTCACTGTTCCTCTCTCCATGCCTGCTGTCCCTGCCCAGAAGAGGAAGGTGTGTGCTAACCTGACGCTGCAGCACCACATGCTGGAACCCGTGCAGAGGATCCCGCGCTACGAGCTCCTCCTGAAGGATTACGTGCGGAAACTCCCGCCCCAGTCCCCCGACAGGGGCGATGCCGAGAGTAAGGGCTCTGCTCTCCACGGTGGGCAGGGCAGGGTGGGTTTGTGGGGGAATAACAACCCCTGGTGTTGTACATGGGCACCAGAAAACCTGGATTCACTCACCTGCTGCTCTAAGCCCTTGGATAAACCTCTCATTCTGATTCTTTTCTAGCTGGGAAAGGGATTAATCTCCCTTTTCAGGGGCTGGGGAGTGGGGAGGGGAAGGGTGGTGTGTCCACAGTATCCCCTAAGGAGACCTGTAGCAGCTGGGGGAGCTTTCAGACCTCTGTGGATAACACAGTTCCCAGTCCTGCTGGGATGGAGGGATGCAGGAGTGGGCTGTCTGTCCCTCCAAGACCCCTCCATGTGCAGTCCAGCTGTACCCAGACTCCTGCACAGCATTTCAGGGCCACTTTGATTGTGTTCATGGAAGGGCAGCAGCTGCTACTCATGTTCATCCATAAGGGACAGAGCCAGAAGCTTCCTCCCACAGCTCCAGAGCAGGTGTTTCACCTCCTGTCTATTCTCATTGCAGAGGCCCTGGAGATGATTTTTATGGTGGCCAAGCACTCCAATGCAGCTATTGCTGAGATGGTGAGGCCCTGTCCCAGCTGGAAATGCTTTGCAGCTCACTGCACAGTCCCCCTGAAGGGGACAAGAGCCCTGTGGAGCTTAGACCCCGCACTTAATGCCCAACCTCACCATCCCAAGCCTGGGGAAGTCCCATCTGTAGCATCAGCTGGGGTGTGACCAGCTGGTCACGGCTGGGAGCTGCTCCCAAAGATCAGTCTGGGCTCAGAGAGCTGTGCTGCCTCTCCCAGTACTCAGCAACAGGCTGGGAGGTGGGCATGGAGGAGACCCAGCTGTGACAGGGCTGTGGCTGCTCAACACCCCACAAGAACAGGTCCCTGTGCCTCCCCCAGGAACGGCTGCAGAACCTCTGGGTGGTCTATCAGAGGCTGGGCCTCGAGGATGACATCGTGGATCCCTCCAATGAGCTGATCAAGGAGGGGCCAATCCAAAAAATCTCCACCCGCAACAACAGCACTTCGGAGAAGTACCTGTTCCTGGTGGGAGCTGGCATGCCTGGGGCAAGGGGAGGGAGCAGATGAGGTGGGAGTGGGGAGAGGGGCAGCACAGCCTGGCCAGGGTGTTGCTGGGTCACCTTGACACAGAGGGGATGAACTCAGAGCTGAGGGGGGAGGGTTTGACCCTGCTCAGTGCAGGGCACGGTTGGGAATCTGCTGATCCCTGGGCACGGCAGCCCTGGGAGATGCTGCACCTTTGCAGGGTGGGAGGGGGCTGAGGCAGAAACAGTTTTAGGTGGGATTCTTCCCAAGGACCAGCTCAGCTCTGGGGAGTGAAGGACCCCAGACCCCAGGGAAGCCCACAGCTCGGAGCAGGCAGTGCTGGGCTCCAACCCACCCTCTTCTCCCCTGCCAGTTCAACAACATGCTGCTGTACTGCGTGCCCAAGGTCATCCAGGTGGGCGCCGAGTTCCAGGTCCACCTCCGCATGGATGTGGGGGGCATGAAGGTCAGCCAGACGCCTTGACTTTGTGCTTCCCCCAGCTCCTGCCTGCTCCTGACTGCTCTGGAGTGTGGCTGCTGCCCGAATTTCCTCAGGAGGGAGGGAGGAGGTGGAGCCAGAGGTGGCTTTGTGAATGGGGTTGATACTCTGATCCTGGGAAATGCTGGTGAAATCTTGTGCCTGTGGGATCTGAGGGGCTGAAGGGCTTGTGCCAGAGGGACATCCCTGTGCCCCACATCATGGAGAAATGTCCAGGTGTGCTGGAAGTGGGTTCAGCTGCACATCCTTTCTCTGGTCTCCCATAGGTGCGGGAGCTGAAGGACGCTGAGTTCCCTCACACCTTCCTGGTGTCGGGAAAGCAGCGGACACTGGAACTCCAAGCCAGGTAAGGGGATGGGTGAAGTCATGCAGACCCTCAGGGACGAGGGACAAGAGCTCATCCAGGTCCTTTTTGTGCCCAGGTCTGGGGAGGAGATGGACGACTGGATCAAGGTACCACCAAGTGCTGGGAGAGGGGGCACAGCCCCCAACCCAGCTGGATGCCCTGGGTCAGGGTACCCCCAGTGCCCCTCCAGCCCTGCCTTGCCCTCTAGGCCTTCCAAGATGCCATTGACAGGAAGGAGAAGAGGAGTGAGACCTTCAAGACAGCAGTCCATGGACTGGAGACAGACACCCCTGCACTGAAGGTAACCCTCCTGCTCTCCCTGTGCCCCGCCTGGGAGAACACACCTTGCTGTTCCTGTTTCCCAAACTAAACCGACCTGGGGGGAGGCTGAGGACACCCAGACTATGGTCTCCCACCCCAGACAGAGGAGCTGGGCCGCCGAGCCCCACAGTGGGTGCGGGACAATCTGGTGACCATGTGCATGCGCTGCAAGGAGCCCTTCAACGCCATCACCCGCCGGAGGCACCACTGCCGAGCCTGCGGATATGTGAGCCCCCCTCCCTCCCTCCCTCCCTCCCGGCCTGCTCGGGTGGCTGCCGGGCCAGGAGTGCACCTCGCACCCCTTTCCCAGGCTTAGGGCTGCTCCTGCCCCTCAGCTCCTCGTGGAGCTGTCGCTGGGTCCCCTAGCCCTGCCCCAGCGTCACCAGTGTCCCTGTCCGGTGGCTGCAGGTGGTGTGTGCTCGCTGCTCTGACTACAAGGCCGAGCTGCAGTACGATGGGAACCGCCCGAACCGCGTCTGCCAGGAGTGCTTCATCTTCCTGACCGGCCACACGCTGCTCGAGGACCGCGAGGGGAAGCACAAAGGCATCCTGGAGGTGAGCTACACCCCCCTCTGCCGTCTGAGCACTGCCACCCACCCCGGTCTCCAGCCTCGCTGTCCCAGCCTGGCCCTGCACCCGCAGCAGGAGGGGTGGGAGTCACTCCCACGGCAGCCAGAAGGTGCGTGTGTTGATCTCCCTCCCTCGTGCTCCAAGCCTTGGGACCGCGCAGCCAGGGCTCCCTTCACCACAGGATGTCAGCAGCACTATCACAGCCAGGACAGCCCCTCACTTGCCCCTGCTTTGGGGAGGTTTCCTGGAGTGGGCAGGGAATTCCCCAATAAATTATCTCAGCTCAGTGCCCTTTCTATTGAGGTATTGAGGGATTTGTTGGTTATTTTGGCAGAAAGGAGCTGCAGAGGTATCAAGCAGGAGTTTGCTCTGCAGTTCCCTGCAGCTGCTGGACAAGAACGGCAAGGGGGCCACGCGGGGCTGGTTCGTGATCCCACAGGACGACCCCCTCGTGCTCTACATCTATGCAGCCCCCCAGGTGAGGCCTGGCTCGAATGCACCCGCAGGGGACATCCCGCTGTGCCCAAGGGACATCCCGCTGTGCCCATCCCCTGCCTCCCACCACTGTCTCTCTTCTTGGCAGGACGTCCGAGCCCACACCTCCATCCCCCTGCTGGGCTACCAGGTGCGGGACATGCCCCAGAGCGAGTCCCGGCACCTCTTCCAGCTGGCGCAGTCCCGGCAGGTGTTCACCTTCGTGGCCGACACTGAGGAGCTGAAACAACGCTGGATGAAGGCCATGGCGCGCTCTGCTGCGGGGATCACGGACCCGGAGGAGGAGGAGGATGCAGATGAAGCAGAATGATGCCATTCCCACCCCTGCGCTGCCTGGGGGTCACACCTCCCCTACCTGCTCTCGCTGCTGGCTTTGGGCAGACCCCCGACATCGCTGCATTCTGGTTTTCCATCGCGATAGGGGCAAGAAGGGGACACGTTTGCCAGCACACGGACAAGCTGGATCCCTTTTCTGTCCCTGGGCAGAGCAGCTGGGAGCGGGGATCTGGGGAGCCCGCGCCCCGCAGAGCCCGGCCGGGCGCGGTGCGGTGCCGCCGGCGGCCGCGCGAGGGCAGCACCGGCCCGTCCTTCCGCGGCCGGGCGGGGAGCCCGGGCCGGCAGAGCCCGTGGGACCGGGACTGCGGGGACAAACCCCTCCTGCGACCCTCTCTGCGCTCCCTGCAGCCTTCTTTGGGCGTCTGTTTTACAGAGAGCCCCGTGGGATTGTCCCCGTGGCTCCACATTGCCGTATATGTCACAAATATATCAGGGATCCAGCTTGTAGCTCAGCCTCACAGCCCAGAGACATCGGTGCTGGGTTCAGATGTCCCTTTTCCAGCTTGTCGCCACTCCTGGCCTCACACTGCAGTCCCGTGGTATGGGGGTACCCCTTAACCACAGACAGCCCTCACCTGCCTCACTGAGCCAGCCCATCCCAAACTTTCCCTGCACTCTCCTGCCCACAAGCACTTTCCACCCTTGTACCTCCCTCAGTTACATTTCCAGGGGGAAAAACACTCTGGGACAAGGTCATGTCCACACAGGTGATGCTGGGGAAACACGGGGGATCCCCCTCTCTATCACCAGCATAACAAGCACCCCTGTTCATTTCAGTCAGTGCTTTAGGCTGCAGTCCCACATTTTTCTCTCTGCATCCTCTTTAGCTCCCCAAAAATGTTGCCCAGGCAGAAGCTGTCACTTCTGAGCCTGCCAGGGGCTCATGCCCAGAGCTGGAGGAGCCCACGATCCCTGACAGGGAGGGCTTGCTGCCTGGACCATGCAGAGCCCAGGGGTGTCACAGGCTGGACAGATCCCTGCAAACTGGGAAGGGAGGTGGAGCAAGGCACTACAAATAGGAACAACACCTGGGGAAAGGATGGGGGGGTAAAGATGAATCACAGCTGTCACCACTCTGGGGGGCTTTGGGGAGACAGGAAAAAGCTGTGAGCAATGTCCTTCCTCAGTCTTCTCTACTCAGCTCATCCTGGGAAAGGCCAAACTGTGGTGGCTTCGTCTCCTCCAGCTCAAGAGATCCTGTCAAGGAAGTGGGAAAGGAGGAGCTGCATGTCAGGCCGAGAGCCCTGCCAAAGCAGTTGCTCTCAGGGTGCCATCTGAGCCCAGATGCAAACAGCACAAACAGGGCTTCCCAGAGACACCCCAAAACAGCCCTCACCTCCCACTGTCACCCCGTGGGAAGGGGAAACCCCTTCCAGCAGCCCTGGAAAAGCCAGGGAGTGCAGGGTGCTGCGGGGAGGAAAGAGTGAGCAAGGGGAAGCCCGCGGGGCTGGAAGCTTCTGCGTGGTGGCCCTTCCACCTCGGCGTCACCGCTGTGTCAGCGAGGAACAAAACAAGCCCCGAGCAGGGAGCTGCCCTCAGCTCAGCTCGTGAATGGCCTAAGAATAAATTTCCTGTTTACCCAGTGAGGAATTGCTCCTAGGGCAGAGGGCACCTGGGGCTATTTTTACCAGCTCCTGCTCTCCTCCCTCCTGCCCCCCAGCACCCTCAGGACCACTGCAGCATCCATGAGTGCCTTAAAAGGGGGCTGCCCCAGAGGAGAGGTGGCCCTTGGGAGGGAGTGGCAGGACACTAGGGCAGGCCACTGGCATGGCTTTGGCATCGTGCTACCCTCAAAGACAGGGAGACAGCATCACTGCCCTGAGCATCCCAAAAAAGGGGAGTGGGAGACCGAACTTTAAGGGGTTTTGCATCATTCCCCAAATAAAAAGATTTTTACAGGTGCAGAGAATACAGTGATGAATTTTCCCTGCCTGTCCTGTCTCAACCCCCAGGCAGTGCCACGGCAGTGGTCAAGCAGAGCAGTTTGGCCTCCCGCCTCCAGAACAGAAAGTGAAACCCCGGTGCAGAAGCCACAGTTTCCTATTCTCGAGAATGGGGAAGGCTCAGAGGCCATTTACTGGCATCCCCCCGCGGGCCCCCCCACGCCTCTTCCCGTAAGCACTGACCAAAATACCCTGTGAAACCCACAGTGCCTGTGCTGGGCCGGGACACCCACCACGGAGAGCACCCAGCCCGGGCCCAGGGCAGCCTGTGTCCCTGCAGAGGCTCCACTGTCCCGTGCTCATCCCAAACCCTGGCTGGGTACCCCGCCTCCAGTGCTCATCCCAAACCCTGCCTGGGTACCACACCTCCGGTGCTCATCCCAAACCCTGCCTGGGTACCACACCTCCGGTGCTCATCCCAAACCCTGCCTGGGTACCACACCTCCGGTGCTCATCCCAAACCCTGCCTGGGTACCACACCTCCGGTGCTCATCCCAAACCCTGCCTGGGTACCACACCTCCGGTGCTCATCCCAAACCCCAGCTGGGTACCATACCTCCTGTGCTCATCCCAAACCCCGGCTGGGTACCACACCTCCTGTGCTCATCCCAAACCCTGGCTGGGTACCACAGCTCTGGTGCTCATCCCAAACCTTGCTGGCTGAGTACCATACCTCCAGTGCTCATCCCAAACCCCAGCTGGGTACCACACTTCTGGTGCTCATCCCAAACCCTGGCTGAGTACCATACCTCCAGTGCTCATCCCAAACCCCAGCTGGGTACCACATCTCCCATGCTCATCCCAAACCCTGGCTGGGTACCACACCTCCAGTGCTCATCCCAAACCCCAGCTGGGTACCACATCTCCCATGCTCATCCCAAACCTTGGTTGGGTACCCCAGCTCTGGTGCTCATCCCAAACCTTGGTTGGGTACCACACCTCCAGTGCTCATCCCAAATCCTGGCTGGGTACCACAGTTCCCATGCTCATCCCAAACCCCAGCTGGGTACCACAGTTCCCATGCTCATCCCAAACCCCGGCTGGGTACCACACCTCCCATGCTCATCCCAAACCTTGGTTGGGTACCCCAGCTCTGGTGCTCATCCCAAACCTTGGTTGGGTACCACACCTCCAGTGCTCATCCCAAATCCTGGCTGGGTACCACAGTTCCCATGCTCATCCCAAACCCCAGCTGGGTACCACAGTTCCCATGCTCATCCCAAACCCCGGCTGGGTACCACACCTCCCATGCTCATCCCAAACCTTGGTTGGGTACCACACCTCCAGGGCATATCAAGAGGTTTGAGGGCATGAAGGAGTAAAGGAGGTGGCAGGGGCACAGTTGTGGTCCCCCCCTTGCAGGGCTCTGTACAGTGCAATCTCCCCCTGCCCCTCAGCAGGGCCTGGGCTGGTGCCCCTCCGTGTGTGGCATGGGATGAAACCATGTGGGCCTGTAGAATCCCTCCAGCTCCAGCCTGCAGGGCTGCTCTGGGAGCTGCTCTGTGGGCTCTGGGCTCTTGATCCACAGGGACAGGCTCTGTCGGGGGGTTCTCTACATGCTTGGCTGTCCCCCTCTTTGGGGACTGTTCCACTGGGCATGTTCTCTCGCTCACTAATTGCAGGTCCCTCTGCACTACATGGGATGGGGTTTTGTGCTCTCTAGGGACTGTTCTGCTCTGCTGGGGCAGCAGATTTTGCTCTGTAACCCCTGGGCTTTGCTCATATGGGTGCTGGCTCCATAAGGGCCAGCCCCACACAGTGCTTGTAGGTGTTGAGCTCCATAGGGGTATTCCCTGGAGGGGCTGTGACCCACAGAGTCCCTGCTCGGGGACAGCACATCCCTCACTGTGGGACACTGGACAGGACAGTGCTGTGGGGGGGGCTCTCAGGGCAGCACACCCCTCACTGTGCGATTTTGGGGTGCACACCCTTCACTGTGGAATTTTGGGCAGCTCACCCCTCACTGGGAGATTTTGGGCAGCACACCCCTCATTGTTGGATTTTGGGCAGCACACCCCTCCCTGTGAGATTTTGGGGCGCACACCCCTCACTGTGGGATTTTATTCCCTGGAGGGGCTGTGACCCACAGAGTCCCTGCTCGGGGACAGCACATCCCTCACTGTGGGACACTGGACAGGACAACTCGTGCTGTGGGGCACTCAGGGCAGCACACCCCTCACTGTGGGATTTTGGGCAGCACACCCCTCCCTGTGAGATTTTGGGGCGCACACCCCTCACTGTGGGATTTTGGGGCGCACACCGTGCTGTGGGGCACTCAGGGCAGCACACCCCTCACTGTGAGATTTTGGGGTGCACACCCCTCACTGTGGGATTTTGGGGTGCACACCCCTCCCTGTGGGGCAGGGGGCACTCCCCCCTGGCTGAGGCATTTTGGGCAGCTCTCCGCAGCGCCGCGGTGCCGGAGCTGCAGCAGCGCAGCCTCTGCAGCCCACCGGGGCTTCCGCTGCTCCCGCCAAGCGCTTTAAATAATAAATAAATGGAGTTGAGAGGCAGCCACAGCAGAGCCCTGCCCCGGGGCATCGCTCCCGCCGTGCCAGGGCTGCGGGGACACGCGGGAACCCTGAGTCCCCTGAGCCTGGGGGCACCCCCTGCATGCGGGGGGATGTAAGGTGATGCTAAATGATGGAAAATATTGGTGACATAACCCCCCCTTCAATAAAAACCCACAGCCAGGATTGTGTAACATTAGGACTGGGGTACCCCACCCTGCTCTTCACCCCCAAGTCCCTCCGCTCAGATGCGGAGGGGGGATCCCAGCATCCACCCAGCTGCACCCCATTTTTGCAGCGCACGGGCTGCTGGGGGTGTCCCCCTGCTTGGGGCAGCGTTTGAGGGGGGGGAAGCTTCCTCCTGCTTTTCGGTGGCCCCCGCAGGTGCCGGCAAAGCGCATTTCGTGCAGTTGAGAAGCAGGTCGTGCATCCCGGCGTCTGGCGAGGCGGGAGGTGTTTCCCGGTGGCGCAGGAATTTGCTGTTTGCGCCTGTGTTGCAGGAGGTTGGGGGAAGGAAGAAAGGGGCGGAGGTGGTGGGGGGAAGCTGGCAGTTGTTATTATTTAATTTTATTTTCCTTCCTCCATCCAGGAATCTCTGCAACGTGCCGGCTGCTCCCCGGGAGGCTGGGGTGGCCGTGAGTCACTGCTGCCGCTGGAACGTGACTCAGTCCTGCTGCTCTGCCGGCAGGACATGACCAGACTGCCAAAATCCGGGAGAAGCCCCAGCTCCCCTTCCCGCCCGCGCCGGCGGGCGAGGACACGCGAAATCCCCTCCCCAGGGAGACGGCAGCCCCTCGCGGGGCAGAGCTCGGCATGGGGGGC